CCAGAAAGGGACGGTGACGCTCAATGCGCTGCAAGCCATCCGATCAATCTACTCCATCATCGTACGATGGGAGCCATACCGTGGCGGCCATCGTGACGTAACGCAGTGCCAGCGGTGCCTCAATTTTGGACACGGTACCCGCAACTGTAACATCAAGCCACGCTGCAGCAACTGCGCTCAAGAACACGCCACTTCCAACTACCCTGCGGATGGAGCCGTGGCGTTAAAATGCGCCAACTGTGGTGGTGCACATCAAGGTTCCGACAGACAGTGCTCCAAACGCGAGGACTTCAAACGCATCAGAAAACAGGTGGCAACTAACAACCAACCAGGACGCAAGAAGGACAAAGTCCCGGCATTTCGGACGGAGGATTTCCCGCCTATTCGTGCTCCTCAGCAATGGCAAGCGAATTCGGGGGTGCATCCCACTCAAGCAACTTCCGGTGATTCTACTGGCCAAAGCTCTCCATCCCCCTAGATTCAGGAGACAACCAACAGCGCAAAACAACAGCCCCGATCTGTTCTCAGCGGATGAACTGATGGAAATTTTCGTCAACATGTCCGGTGCTCTTCGTAAGTGCCGCAATAAGCCCGAACAGATCCGTTTGCTCGGTAAGTTCATCATCCAGTATGGCGTCTAAACCGCTAACTATCGTCACCTGGAATGCTTGCTCTGTAAGATCAAAAAAGATTGAGCTTGCCGACTTCCTCCGCAAGCACAGCATCGACGTGGGCCTTCTAACCGAGACCCATCTAAAGTCCGGCGACAGCTTCTGGTTGCCTGACCACAACATTATCCGGCTTAATCGCACCAGCTCCAGGGGGGGTGGTGTTGCGGTCGTTGTCAAGAAAGGAATAAAATACCACACTCTGTCCCATATCCGCACCTCTATCATCGAGGCCCTTGGTGTGGAGGTGGAGTCGTCGACTGGATACGTTCAGTTCATCGCCGTCTACTGCCCTCGACAGTGTGTCGCCAGCAGTGGACTAGCGGCTAAATTCAAGAAGGACCTGTCCACCATCACCCGTACCGGTTCCTGCTTCGTAGTTGGAGGAGATCTGAATGCTCGCCATGAGGCCTGGTAGAACTATCAGCAGAACCAGAACGGTCGTCTCCTGTTCGACCACTCACAGCATGGGCTGTACCAACAATCAATACGAAACTAACGATTTTAAATTGGCTCACTACTTGACTAGCCTATTGGTCCCAAGCAAACGATTAACGTATCCCATTCTAGTTGAAATTCTAGTACTATGCAATGTTTGTTTTGATTCGCCATGAAAGTTTGACAGATAAAATGAGGGGTGATTGGTTTTTCCTATGTTTCGAGGGGTGAATCGATTAGCTTGGGACCGAAGATAGTACCAGAGCTGAGCCAAAAAGTTGAGCACGTTTCTTCGGGACCTTCTAGTCTTAGAGTTACCTCTATGGCTGTACTCCGTTTGGTTTTCGGATGAACCAACATTCATCTCACCGGCGGGCAACCCATCGACGCTAGACCTGTTCCTGACAAATATCGGCTTGTCCAAGCCGGTAGCCTTGAACGAACTCAGCTCCGACCACCAACCGGTGGTGGCTGAACTGGGCTGCAACGTGGCTCCTGCTTCAAGCCTGCACAAGGACTACCATCGCGTAAACTGGGTCCAGTTTGGACGCGTGGTAGACAGGCACATCATCGACAACCCGCCGCTTGACACCGTAGAGGACATCGACCGAGCGTTGGAGGGACTCCACCAAGCCATAACCGTGGCTGACGAGGCGTGCGTCCGACGAGTTCCTGTGAGGGGTAAGTTTATTGTCATTGATTCCCACACCCAACTTTTGATTCGACTGAGAAATGTTCGTAAACGCCAGTTTCAGAGGACTGGAGATCTGGGCAAAAAACGTGAAATGGCTGATCTGAACAGACAGATTGCTTTCAGAATGGACTCACTCCGAAATGAAAGTATCGGGCGTGTTGTCCAGAATCTGGACGACCGCTCCAGACCATTCTGGACCTCTCAGAGTCGAAAATGATGACGATCGGCTTTTAATCACCCCACAGGAGAAAGCAAATGCGATCGGCGAGCATGTCGCTTCATCGCATTTGCTAGGCTCGACTATCCAAAGTCCGCTCGATGATTAGGTTGCGCAATGCGTACAAAACCTTGATGCCTCCCCTTGTGTCGTGCCACCGGCGGATATGATTACAGTACAACAGATTTACTCAGCGCTGAAATGCACCAAGAACATGAAGGCTCCCGGGTTTGACGGTATATTCAACTTGATCTTGAAGAGACTCAGCATGAAAGTGCAGTCTCTTCTAACCGCTATCTTCAACAGATGTTTGGAACTGCACTACTTTCCAAGCATCTGAAAAGTAGCAAAAATCATACCAATCTGCAAACCCGGTAAGGATCCAACATTGTCTTCAAGCTAAAGAGCAATCAGCCTCCTTTCAGCGCTGAGCAAATTGTTCGAGAAACTCGTTCTCAATCGTTTGCTCAAGTTTGTCGAGGAAAACAACATTCTCCTTCCGGAACAGTTTGGATTCAGAAAGGGGCACTCCACCAATCATCAGCTAGTACGGGTGATGAATAACATCCGAAGTAACAAAGCTGTATCCAAGTCCACAGCCGTGGCCTTGTTAGACGTTGAAAAGGTGTTTGACAATGTTTGGCATGACGGACTTATGTACAAGCTTTGTGACTTCAACTTTCCTTTACATCTGGTTAAAATCACCCGTAACTACCTTCAGCAAAGGTCGTTTAAGGTATCGTTGAATGGTTGTCTTTCAGACACGTTTTCCATCCCAGCAGGAGTCCCGCAAGGCAGTTTGCTGGGCCCCTTGCTTTACAGCATTTACACTTCCGCCATTCCTCCCCTCGGTGACGGTTGCGTGTTCTTCCTGTTCGCAGATGATACCGCAATAGCCGTCAAAGGAAGGATGCCTCGCGAAATAACGAACAAACTTCAACGATGCCTTAACGCCTTTGCTGATTATGCCACCACGTGGAAAATTAAAATCAATCCCTCCAAAACACAAGCGATCATGTTCCTGCATCGGCAATCGCCCAAACTGAAACCGGCTCCATCTTGTACTGTAATCATGGATGGCACAAGGGTTGAGTGGTCCGCCGAAGTAACCTATCTCGGGATGTTGTTTGACGAAAAGCTCCTATTCCGCTCGCATGTAGAGAAAACAGTAGTCAAGTGTTCTGCCTTGGCTAGATGTCTGTATCCGCTGATTTGCCGCAGATCCCGCCTCTCAAGGGTGAACAAACTGGCCGTCTACAAACAAATCATAGCACCTGCGATCCTCTACGCAGCTCCGGTGTGGAAATCATGTGCACAGACTCACAGGAACAAAATTCATGTCGCTCAGAATAGAGTGCTGAGGATGGTTCTTGATCGTCCTTTCGACACGAGAATAACAAATTTACACGAAGAGGCAGGCATTGCCAAAATAGATTCTAGAATTACGAAATTAAAACTAAATTTGCTCAAAAATGTAATTTATCAGAACATGCTTTGATAAGCAATTTGTATATAGTAGGTTAGGTGTATATAGTAGTTGTAAGTAATTTTTTTTTTTCCTTTATTTAACGTCGGTCTCTGTTCCGCAATCTAGTGCCAATCACCGACGGACATCGATTGCAATCCATTGACGGCAACCGAATGTGCAGGAAGGCAGCTTCAACACCTGCGTAGGATATCGCACCCATTCAACACACATGGGCCGGGACCAACGGCTTTACTTCCCTTCCGAAGGAAGACGTGACCAGAGATTTTTATGCCTCAGAAAAATCCCACCGACCTCGGCTGGGGATTGAACCCAGACCCATTGGGGTATTAGAAAGCAGTCACGCTTACCACTACACCACCGGCGCCGGCTTAGTTGTAGGTTAGTTGTAGTTGTAAATAGTAGTTATAAGTAGACTCCTTTTTCCAATTCAAATCAAACCAATCCCACCAAGGTGGTCATACTTTAAAATAGGCCTGATAGGACTAGAAACTGTAAATAATAATTAAAATTTCACTGTACTAAAGTTGAAAAGACGCATCTGTGTCACTAGAAAAATTCATACATGTAAACCACACAAACACAAGAAATAAAGATCATTTAAAGTAAAAAAAAATCTGTAATCTTTGTAGGGAAATCCTTTTCTTTTCCATCACAGAAACACTCCGTTATCTTATGCAAAATAATGAATGTTCGTTCACAAAACGCACGAAATCCTTAAAAACCATATTAACCCGTAAAAGCCCGGGACAAACATTTTATTTTCAAAAATTTGTATGTCAGAGATGCCATGGCCGATTAAAATTACTTTTTTTAAACATCATTCCGGTGAGTGGTTCTTACATTTGTTGGGTGGTACTTCCCCCCAGGACCATCCCTCTTTTCTATATATTCAAAAATGTGTTGGCACGGGGGTGTTTTTTTCAATCTTTATCATATATCTTACATATCATCGCGACAACATATTGATTTTTTTCGTGGAAATCCCGTAAATGAAAAAGAACATTCATAAGATCACATGCCTACCATGGAATCGGTTCCGGATGTTCCGGATTATGGTTCCATATGGTCAAATTTATTGTCTGTCATAACAATATCAAGCAACATATAAACCCCCATCTCCTCAATCATATCAAGCAACATATAAAATCACATCTCTCGAAATATGACCAATGGCACTCAAAACGACGTCCACAGGATTTCCAGTGAAAACTAGTTGTATGAGTGCTCATTGCAAGACAGCGTATATCACGTGATATACGCTGTAATGTGAACGGGGTATGATAATCTCTTTTGACTTCGATACGCATGACGAAAATGAACGACTTTACCTTCACCGACGGAAAATTCTCGCAGAGAGCAGCCCCTCGGCTCACAGCATCGATTAAAAAAGCTGTCAAATTAATGTTTCTCTCCAGTGCTGTCAGTTATCACGTGCGAGAGAGAACTGTCAAAATTTTCTCGTTATCCCAGCAGCAGCAGCTTTCGAGAGTGCGCGAATAAAAAACATCAGTTTGGCTCGGTGTTGTTTGTGAACGTCGGTGGGAGTTTCAAAATTTTCCATAGTTTTGGAAACTTCTGTGGAGATAATCGAAATCATCCGGTTAGCTCTTCAATAACCAGACAGCAGGTACATCGATTCATTGATTAATCCGAGCAAAACTTATTTTTGTGCCTAGAAAATTCATTTTGAAGTTATGTAACATTACGCACCGAAAGAATGCCTTTTTTTAACAGTATTGTGAAAATCACATTTTCATTTTCATGTGTCTTGTTCCAGCAATGGGAAACACCATCTCGGCGGCTGAACTGATTGCTTCGAACATCGTACACGCCGAAGCTGCTGCGCCCGATGTGGCACCGGCAATACCCAAAGGACATCCTTCCATTGGCGCGATGAAAGTGGCCGGCGATGCAAATCCACCACCGGAATGTCCCATGCACCAGAAGGAAAAGCCAATATTGGTGTCCGAATGTCCGGTGAAGCAGGATAATTCGGACATCAATCCACTTAACATGGTGAGTAGTAGCAGCTACGGCGCCTCAGTCAAGGACGCCAGGTAGATTCTAGTTAATAGTTTTTAGCTTCCTTCACATATAAATACTGCGTAAAGTAATAAAAATGTGTTTATCAGATGCCACCGATGAATCAAAACAAGGCGCCAGATCAACCCTTCGACCTGCCCAAAGATCGACAGGTATCGTCTATCCCGAAAGTCACCGAAGATGGAAAGCAGGAATTCTGGGTTTACCCTAGTCAGCAGATGTTCTGGAATGCTATGCTTCGCAAAGGCTGGCTCTGGCAGAAAGACGATATTCAGAAGAAAGACATGGACGATATCATCAAGATTCACAATGCCAACAACGAACAGGCCTGGCAAGAGGTACTCAAATGGGAAGCACTACATGCTCGGGAGTGTGGTAATCCCAAGTTGAAGAGCTTTGGTGGAAAAGCGACAGAATTTAGCCCCCGAGCTCGAATGCGCAGCTGGCTTGGCTACGAGTTGCCGTTTGATAGGCATGATTGGATTGTTGACCGTTGTGGCAAGGACGTTCGGTACATCATTGATTACTACGATGGTGGTATAGTGGATGAAAAGTATAAATTCGCTCTGCTCGACGTAAGGCCTGCGATGGACTCACCGGAAAACGTCTGGGATCGAATGAAGGTTACCTACATGCGCTGGAAGTATGAAATGGAAGGTAAGCTCAAACAATTGACGAGTTAAATTGAAAGGGTCAAAGCGGAGTCGAGATTGTACTTTTAACTGCAAATAGTTGATAACCATCCAACTATGAACTATAGCACCATTTCTCAATTATAATCTGATGACCGATCAACGGATATCGGTACATACTTCAATAAACTACAGATGTTTGACGAGAACACATCTTTTCATAATTATCTTATCATGGAACACTGAAGGCGCGATGTTTTGATGCACCTGGTGAGTATCACATTGATCCTTCCGTATCGTCTCCATTGCGACGCCTGAGAATGGATGCAAGGGAGAGCAAATAACCTCCATCGTCAGAATTTTAATTATTGTATAAGCTAAGCTAATCCATAGCAAAAAACAAAACAAAAATCAAACATCACCCTCAGCGGCGTCGGTGGTGTAGTGGTAAGCGTGACTATCTCTCAATCCAAAGGGCCTGGGTTCAATCCCAGGCGCCGTTGGAATTTTCTGAGGCATTCAATTTCAAATCACGCCTACATTTCCATGAAACTTTGCAACTATTGTTCGCTATGGGCAATCATTCAAATTTGTGCTGGATTTTTCTCAATCAAGGCACGAAAATGTGTCGTCTAAGGGATGGTCCATTAATTATGTCACGCAAATTTGGCCCATTTTCAACCCCCCTTTGTCACATTTTTTTATGAACCTTAATTTTTTTGTATGGCTCGTCACAGTTTTCAAAACCCCCCCTCGCCCCTAAATGTGTGACATAATTAATGGACGACCCCTAATCGAAATAACGTTTGAGACACACAGTAGGAGAAATAGATAACCTTTTCAGAAAAACAAAAAATAAAATACGCTTTATACCGAATATAAAGCTTTTCAAAAATGCTAACTTTTCTGAAATTTTCAAAATGGACACTTTATGGACACTAAATATTGCTATGGCGAACAATTATAAAAAGCTTCATGTAGGAATTGGAGAGGGTCAAGTCTGATGAAGTTCGTTTTCGTTAGTTGGCGGGGAGCTGCTCAGCTCTAAGATCATAACCAATTTTCGAAATCCCAGAATTGTTTTTTAGTTACAGAATCTTTTTTGACGTAGGACTACGTCTATGATTTCTATATGGGGGTACACTTTGTGAAACCTAAAATGAAACATGTACCAAAAAATGAAAGATTTTGAACGTTAATAACTCAGCTGCCCCTGGACTAATTTCAATAATTTTATCACCAATCGGTCAGATATATTTCTACACATCTGTTAAATTTAAGACTTTATCGTTTTTTTAATGTCGCTATTGAAAATTGCACGAATGTGCAACTGTTGCTTTAATAGTTAAAATTATCCCTGATTTCCCTAACATAGATTTCAAAGTCAAATTCCATCCGGTCTCACCAAACGGTGTTTATTCAATCACCGCGTGGTTAGTGGTGGTGTTCTTAAGTACACAACGAAAGGCTACCTGTAAGCTGCGAGCTGCAGCCCACATGACCATCCATAGAAGGAGGAAGAAGTCGCCTGTCGCACAGCTATTGATCGGAATCAGTGGCTCTTCGTGAGTCGCTGTGGGCCATCAATGTCGCTCAAATACCTATTCCTACACAAAACACAAGCTCCTGCTGCAGTTAACAAATAAAATTTATTATATAAGACCACGTAGTCCTACGTCACTATTGCGTACAACCCCTTAGGGCTGTCCCTTGTAGTTTTTTTGATGACCGCTAGACCGCATGATTCGTTAGACCGAACTTTGAACAGTGTGGCAACTATCTGAAAAACCTGGAATTATCCGGGAATTTAAAAATACCTGAAAAAATCCTGGAATTATCAAAGAATTCCGTCCCCAATCAGTGAATTTTGGAAAACTAAGTTCAAACGACTATGAATCTGTTTCTGTTGTTAACGTAGCCAATACCAGTTACGAATTATGAGAGCTTTATTCTGTACTGGCTACGCCCTCTCTTAACCAGGAATAAAGATAAATCTCAAAGCTTCAAAGACTGCCACGAATGTATGACCTAGGATTAGCTTCTGAAAAACGTCCGCCTTCTGCAACTTCGATTCAACGATTGTCTTAGACTGAACCTTCTCCTTCACGAAATGATGCAGCAAGTTGATATGCTTGCTGCAGAGTACGTAGCCAATCTCCTTAGTTTGCAAGTTGGGCAGAGTCGGCACCAAGGTGATGCTCCGTACGAAAGCGGAGTATGACTTGGTCGTCGCCCACCTGAGGACTTCTAAGGTGGAATTCTTCACCCACGACATTCCCCGTGAGAAACCATTCAAGGTCGTCATCAAGGGTCTACCGAACTTTGACCCGAAGCTGATCGAAGCGGAAATCAAGAACCGCTACAAGCTAGCCCCAACTGCCGTCTATCGGATGACAAGGAGGGACGACAACGTCAAGAAGTACCCGGATTGCCTTTTCCTGGTGCATTTCCAGAAGGGAACGGTAACGCTTAATGCGTTGAAGGCCATCCGCTCCATCAATTCCATCATTGTCCAATGGAAGCCATACCGTGGCGGCCGTCACGACGTCACCCAGTGTCAGCGATACCTGAATTTCGGGCACGGCACCCGAAACTGCTTCATGAAGCCGCGATGTGGCAAATGCGCTCAAAACCATGTCTCCTCCGAGTGCGTTATAGACGAATCGGAAACGTCCAAATGCGCCAACTGTGGTGGCGCTCATCAAGGGTCCGACAAACAGTGCTCCAAACGCGAGGATTTCAAGCGGATCCGAAAACAGGAGTCCACAAGAAACCAACCAGGGCGAAAGAAGGACAATACGCCGGCATTCAGAGCGGAGGACCTCCCGCCTCTTCGTGCTACGCAACACGGTTAAGTAAATCCGCGGGTGCAATCCAGCCCTTGTCAAGAAACGTCCGGTGCTTCTGCTGGACAAAGCTCCCCATCCCCCTGGATTCTATAGACAACCATAAGCACAAAACGTCAATCCCGATCTCTTATCTGCAGATGAGCTGATGAAGAATTTCGTCGACATAACCAGCGCTCTTCGTCAGTGCCGCAGCAAGCCCGAACAGATCCAATTGCTCGGTAAGTTTATTATTCAGCACAGAGAACAGACGTTCAAGTTCGGTCAGAAACTTGTGTAAAATAAGTGGGAACGTCGCCGTTACGTGGTGTTAGCATCTCCTGATTTTCTCTATAAATTTTCCACTTTCGATCAATTTGGCGCTAGTATTGATAAATTTTCTGTTGAAAATTGCCACTTGGCGCTACTAGCAATTAGTGTCTAGTGTAATTTGTGCAACGCCAGCGCCATCGTCAAAGAGGGTTTTTAAGTGGGGAAGTCGCCGTTAGTGGCGCTTAAGTCAAATAGGAATCTTTACACAAGTTTTTATAAAAATTTTGTACGAGCCTCAATGTCTGTTCTCTGTGTATTCAGTATGCTGGGCTTTTCAGTGACTTTGTCACTATTTTGAAGTCAGTCACTAAAAAGTAACTATTCACACCAAAAAGTCACTAAAGTTACTATTTCCCTAAAAATAGTCACTCAAGTCACTTTATCACAACAAAAATAGAGTGAAATGGAAAAATATCAACACCATTTTAAAATTGAGTACTTGGCACTAACAAAGTCTACAGCAGTTATGACAAAATATGCATATCTGTTGAAAAATTAACAATTTTAACCAGGATGACCAAAAAAATTCAAGGACTTTGAAACACCAGGATAAATACTGGGAAATGCTAGATTTTCAGTAGTCTTTGAAGAATTATCAATGAACTTAAAAAAATCAAAGGACACTTTAAGACAATTTTAAATGAATTCTTGGAATGACACCAAGACATTTCAGAGAAGAATACCAAAGTACAGACTACGAAAGTCTTATGTAAAATTAAATGCTCTGAGGGCCGATTTCTTCACCTCCGAAGAAATCTTACAGCAGGTTTATCTATATAGTTAAACCTGGTTGAAGGCTTGAGCGGAGGTAAAAACCCAGCCCTGAGACTGGCACATACGAGCGTTGCTTTTGATTATTGTTTAAATTATTAAAGATGTAAAATTCAACTCCTGGAAATAATTCCAATATAATTGAGAGAATTCTATGATGCTTGGATGAGGATTCTAGGTCCAATTCTAAAAGGAATTCAAAAATAGTTCTGACATTTTTTAAGAGAGCTCTGATGAGAATTCCATGTAAATCCCGCGAACTCCAAAGATGATCTCTGCGGATAGTTATAAAAATGTTCTGCAATGATTTCTGAGGATCCTTCAAGAGAACTCTAAAAAGTTCGGAATAAATTCCGAGAATAATTCCAATGATTTCGGGTTTTGAGGGTTCAATCTCAAAGGAATTCTTCGAAGAGTTTTAAGGGTATTCTGAGATGGATTTTTGTTTCGAGAATTCTGAGCAAATACCATAGAAATTCTGAGGAGAATACGAACTGAATTTCCAATAGAATTCAGGGGAGAAGTCCAAGATTATTCTAAGCAGAAATTTATGTAACGTCAAACAGTAACATTAAAAAAAAAACTCCGGGAAAATCCGCAAATTGCTATTTGCTATTTGCTAGCCATCAAAATGAAATTATTCAAATCACTTCAAGTGCTCTTCATAGGAGATTCCGTTGAGAGTTTCGATATACATAATTAGAAGAATTGATGAAATGTGATTTTATGTTTCATGACAAAAAACAGTTTATTCCAATATTAAACCTTATTTGTGTTTCTGAGTCATCTATTGGATGCTAATTTATTATTAAAAAGTCACTATTTGGTCACTATTTCCGTAATTTTAGTCACTAAAGTCACTACTATTATATCGCATCAGCTCTACCAGCCCTGAGTATGGCGTCTAGCCTAGTCAGTAAAGGCACGGTATTACCAAGCCGGAGGCGGCGGGTTCGATTCCCAGTCCGGTCGAGGGAATCTTTCGGGTTGGAAATTTTCTCAACTTCCCTGGGCCTAGAGTATCATTGTGCTTGCCACACAATATACAAATTCATGCATTGGTATTGGCATCGAAAGCTCTCAATTAATAACTGTGGAAATGCATTTTAGAACACTAAGTTGAGAGCACGCGATAAGCTAATATGCGCTAAGCAATAAGCTTAAAATGCGAACAAGAAGAAGAAGAGTATGGCGTCTAAACCGATAACTATCGTTCCTTGGAGCGCTTGCTCGGTAAGAGCAAAAAAGCTTGAGCTTGCTGGCTTCCTCCGCAAGCATAGTATCGACGTAGGCCTC